CTTACCAAGTGGAGAGAAAATGGGGGAGGAATTTTCTACAGTCATGTGAATAGAATTCATCAGACAATAAGCTAGAAAAAGGATGAAGATATACCCATAATTTCTTGAATTTTTCAAAGGCCAGGCCTTAAAGTTCTAGGCCATCCCGTACGCTATCGTATCATCAAGAAGTCGTTGCACTGCCATAATAATTGAAAGGAGAAATGAATAAAGGGGATAGGTTTCTAAAGAAATTGTGGTGTTGCGTTGGTGTGGAAGTATAACGAGGTAATTTTGGTTTTATCAACTGGGTTGATAATGGTAAATTGGCCACCGTAAAGAGTTTTAAAGTTTTCAAAGAAAATTGTTTATTAATTTAAAGGAGGCTCACCAGAAGCTTATTAAACTCACCTCAGCCAGGATTGTGTAAACTTGGTTATGAAGTTTGCCGTTAAAATAGTCAGATTAGTTTACAATAATGAAACTGCATGACAAAGAAGTCCTTTTCGTCTACTGGGCTTCCGCTATTTCATCACTTTTTCTTCTTTTTTACTTAGAAAATATCGTTTGTTTTAGTTTTCTAATTTTTCTTAGCGAAATCCCTCGCATGAATTTATAAGAAAGAGTTTCGGAGTTATATGCCTGAGAAATTTCAAGCTGCCAAAAGATACCTTTCTCATAGCGAGTTTTTTAAAAATATTTTCCTTAAATGGAAACCATCTTCATTACCTGTAGTTCTTTTCATCTCAAAGCTTTCCTGTTATCTTGTAGATGTTTGGTGCATACAGTAATTCTTCGACGAGATGTTCGCCATTTTTCGAAAACAATGCGAAGTCGAATAATGCGCTCTGTAAATATTGATGATTTATCCAACAGGAATATTGTGAGCAGAGATTAGAGCGCAAAGCTGTTTTGAGAATAACAATGACTGCAAGATGACAAATTCTCAGGCGTACAAGAACAGTTGAAAACCAACAGCTGTAGATACAAAGACGCGTTCACCTGGAGTGATAATTTCATTTTCTGAAAATTACATCCTGCACTGGATTAGCTCTGTTATTTTTATGAATTGCGATATCCGCAAGAGAATTGTAGAAAGATCTGATTGTTTGTGCTTTCATTGAAAGTTAGGTGAAGGGAACTCTTTCAACTCCAAAAAATTCCCGAGGTGACTTACAATTAAAACTTGAATACTTTCTGTTGGTTATTATTCACAGAAGTTCACCTATACTCCAAGCACTTCGATAATACAGGATTGGTAGGGACAACTAAAATTTTGTAATACATCTGATAATAATTTGTTTCTAAAACATATTACTGCCCAACAATCAATTATTGCGCGTCACTTTATCCGTTAGCTCCTTTGAACTTGGCTCAGTTTTGATTTGCATGACATTAATGACATTATGGGATCTTCAAGTAAGAAGTGAGTTCGTTCCATCACACGGCAGCTTAAGAAATACTCAATCGAAAGAAACTGATTGCGGGTACAAGTCCATTGCAAATAAAAGGAATACAGGTTAAATCAGGCTTTAACACATTTCACATCAAGTATGATCTGGTAAATGGAATGAAAAACATTTCTGTTTAGATAGAAAAACTGTGCCCGATTTTCCCGCGGACAGGAGGTCACGTGAGCGGATATGAAGTGCTGGATACCTTTTAACTAGGGGCGATTTTACGAGTAGAAATTTCACTCAAAAGGATGTGACAGTCAATTATATGAAGGTATAATATTGTGTAAAACTAAGTGCTTTCAGCAGAAGGTCTTCATTTGTGTTTTCTTTGCTCTTGCCAGGAATTTCAAGGATACAATCTATTCTTCAGGTGAACGAAAGGTGGGCTCTTTTGGGATGGGCTTTTTAAGCAAAAGCTTCAGCTTAATTTATCATTTAACAATTGTGTGATAAATTAAAACTCGCTTTGTTTTTTCCTTAAGTCGAAGACAATAGTGATTCATTTACCAAATTGGAAAGAAAGGGTAATATTGGTTTCACACCTATCGTAACTTGCTTTAATGAGGGTCTTCAATGAGGTGATAGCTTTTACGGGTAACAGATGAAATTTTGGCCATCTGACAGCTAACTGTTTACTTCCATCCTTTGTGATTTTTTTTTCAAGGTTAACTTTTTTACGACTTCTACGGTTAAAAATTGTCAGTTTATAGGCCTAATGGTTGAATTTTTTGGCCGTTTTACGGCTAAGGTTTAACCCATTGAGACCCTCTTTAATCATCTCATCAGGCAAACGGCACGACAGCACTGCGTTGGTTGAAAACCCCATGACTTGATTACCTTGTTTAAACGAATAACTTATACCCGGGAATCATTTGTAACCTTTTTTTAGGGTTCGACTTCCTCACGTTTTTCAAAAGTCTCATTGTTATCTATGTCTATTTATTAATTTTTTTTAAGCGGCTGATACAAGAATGGTCAATATAACGGGCATAACTAACCAAGCATAGATTAAATTACAAAAAGTACAAGCTGACAGCTGACGTCATTTTAAACAGGTGAACAGGAAGTAGTACTCAGGAGTTACCTTTGACCTCAAATACTGTTTTTTTTTTGTTGTAGCCATAGCTACTACACTTCTAACTCTTCAATATGAAACAACAATACTCGATTTTTTACAGTCGACCCAACTATAACCCCTGGGTGCTAACAAGCTCCAAAAGCGAACTGTCCTTTAGAAAGTAGGGGAAATATCTGTAAGCTACTTCTTTCAATATTTTGTTGGCGGGCATGTCGGGCTCCATTAAACGAGCTGCAAAACTCCGTAGTGGTAGAGTCACTTTTGCACAAGCAATTTTTATCTTATCGAAGTGGCTTACGGAATGCGAAAAGTGAATGCGCAAGAATACAGGGATAACAACAACACTCCTTGAAACCATCCAGAGTTTCTAAAGGTCGTTTTAAATGAGTTTGTTTGGTTTCCCAAGGTGTTGAAAATCTCTCGAGAAATTGACGAAAAGAAAGTTCTGTCATTTCTTACCACTTGTTATTTTTTTAAACATAAAAGGTTTGGAGCAACGGCAACGATTATCACCCTGATAAACAGTTTCCCAGTAACATAGCTCAGAGCTTGCTAAAAGCAGGTAAACGTGGAGGAAATAAAAATTGTTATGAACTGATCATTCGGCGCAATTTACCTATTTACGCATTTTTCTACATCTTCCGACATTTTAGCATTTGTTACTTGACAAGAACATTTTGATCTGAAATATGTTGTTATCATAACAACTGTCGGAAACGTATTAGAGCGTTGTAAAATTTCCGATTTATTTGCTCAAAACAGCATGTGCTATAGAGATATTCTGAGAGGCAGAAATCATCTCGTGTGGGGGAAGAATTAGTTGGGAAGAATTAGATGGTCGTTTTCTCGCTTTTATAGGTGGATGCATTGCAACTCAGGCATCGCGTTCTCTCAGTCGCTTTCATCTACACATGCTCTGTCCTATTGCAAAATTCACTTCTAGACCGGAAATCAGCAAGTTAAGTCTTAAATCTTATATCGCAAGAATAGCGAAAGTGAATTTTTTTTGCAGGAAACTGATTTTGGGGGAAAGTTTTAGGGCGATACAAAATACTGAGAACGACCAAAAATACCCAGCAATATCACACATCAAACCAAAGTTATTTGTTATCCAACTGGTTTATTTTACACGCAGAAGGTGGGAGAAGCCAAGCAGATGGAGAAGCGGACCACGCGAAGCCGATCGGTTTTAACAGGTTTTTTTTACAGAACAAAATAACCAACTGCCGAGTGTCCGATATCGCGGAATATTTGTATTAGACTTATGCTTTATTTACACACTACTTAATGCAGTTGGATAATTACTTTTTTTTCTCTTAATTTAAATGTTTTTTTTTCAACTGTATTGTTTTTTCAGTTAAGCAACAAAATGAGGTGGAATGTGAATTGCTTCTTTATCGTCGGCCTCTCAGTGGACATTGTACTTGCTAATACACAGTGCAGACGAGAAAGAAGCATAGCTGGAATGGCTCTGCGAGGATTTGTTTTCCAAAGGTTTTCAGTAACAGCCATTCACGATTGTGACATTGGCTGTGGAAGAGAAATCAGATGCCAGAGTTATAATTACGTAGTAGGTGAAAAGTCTTGTGAACTGAATAGCCGGACCAAGGAGACAAGGCCTGAAAATTTTCAAACAGACGTTGCTCGGTTATACCACATGCGTTTTTTTGACAGGGGTACGTATCAAATGTAGAGTCAAATAGAAGTTTATTACATAAAATGAATCAGCTGTTCATGCCCGTGCTATCTTATCAAATTTATCCCCCAGTTCCACTAGGATCCAATTCAGAGCTGCCCGCAGAGTCGTGTCGGGAAATAAAGAATGGTGAAGGCCAAGACGCCATTAGCAACAAGTACTGGTTGGATCCAACGAGAAGTGGGAGGGCCACTTTAGTTTACTGTGACATGAAGATAGAAGGTTTTTCTTCGCAATTTGTACGATGTATTTAGGTTGTCTGATTAGAGATGCATTCCAATTTGGAGTTCCATCAGATTGTGACACTTCTAAGAGGGTCTGAATCGGGGGGTACAAATGTCAGTTGTCAGTTAAATTTTCGGCCATTTATCAGTTCTCAGTTAAATTAGGCCATTTGTTAGTTGTCAGTTAGATGACTGTTAATAATTAATTTGGTGAGTTAATTATTTCTTACCAACCCTATTTTTGGCTAAAATGGCGCATATAGCGTAAACTCAAAAATTAAGTAAAAAAATTGATACAATAAGAACTACTTTTTTTTAATTCTGGAATGAAATAATTCCAAGATCTTCCAAGTGACTTTCAGTCTTTATTTGAAGTGTGTTTAAGTAAGTTACAACTCTTCTGCACACAAACTTTTGATTGCCCGTGTGCAACATTGACATATTCCTTTTCAACCACTTAGGCGGTCAAAATGTTGGAAAGAAGATTGTCAGAAAGAGAACAAACTTGTGAAGAGTCTTCTCGCACAATATGTTGGTTTTGTATTTTGTTTTACAACGCGTCGATTGCGATTGGCTTCGATGAAATGATCGGAAAGGAGTGTTCTTTTGTCTTCTTTTCAATTAGGTTATTAGAGATATCTACTGTTTGCATGCCTTAGAAATCCAAGCAAAAATAGGCGCGAATTGGCCACCCGGATCTACAAACCGTAATTTGGGTAATATCTTCATCCTCTCGGTCAGAAAAGCATCTAAAACCGTCAGTATCGATAAGTTTTCATATCCCAGTTGTTAAAACCCTAATCGATCCGATATTGTGGTAACGAGAGGAGCATACAAAGGTTTCGCGGCTGTTCGAGATCAGTGGAGCTGCAAGGTTATCAATAGAGGTTTTGGACAGCAGCCATGTTGGATGGCGGGAACAATGAAAATATTTTGCATAAGAAAGGAAAATTTTTCCCATAGGAAAAATAATCTATTGCTCCTGCCATCCAACATGGCTGCTGTGCAAAACCTCTATATGCAAAGCTGCAGATAACAAGATTCGGGTGAAGGCTGAATCCCTCATCACCAGTGTTTTTTCTGCAAAGTTTATCAATACGCAGGGCTACCGTGTTAACAAGGTCCAGATGAAAGTTGTATCCCTCGTCATCAGTATTTTTCATTTGCTTCTTGGCAAACTCATTTCATGTACTTTACCCAAGACCTTAAAGTAGTAATGGATAACTGAGAACTGTAAGAAAAAAATTTCACGGTAATCCGGAGCTACTGTGCCATAAGCCGCTCCGCTATCTGGGCGAAGTAAAATTGTCTTTCATTCAATTTTCGTGATCTAGGCATGCATTTATGAACAAGTTTCGTTTTCTCCTTTTCCTTTCAAGCTTTTATCGATTCTGTTATCCTTGCGGCGAATAGTACCTTCGTGAACGATTTGATGCAGTTCCTTGAGCCCGTTATCAATGATAACGGGACCAGCAGCTGGACAAGATGTTATCATGCGCTGTCAGATGGATGGAATACAACTGAATTTCACATCAAATGTGATGACAAAGGACCGACTGTCACCATCGCAAAAGTCGGCGAATATGTTTTTGGAGCATACATTAGTGTATCATGGACGGGTGAGTAAAACATTGTTCATGTCAGTGATTTCAACTCTTAGATCTGAGAAGACCAAACAATTTTGTTAAGGAAACAGATTTAACAGCTTTCATCGATTAATTGGAAACTTTTTGAAACACAGAAATTGTTATTTCACCAAAGCTATGATGTATTTACGCTGAAAGTTTCTAAAGAAACTGTGGTGCTGCGTCGGTGGGGGTAACAAGGTAATTTGGTTATATCAACTAAGTTGAAATTGTAAATTGGCCACCGTAACGAATATAAAAAAAAGCTGACGTCAGGGTTTTTTTTTTATTCGTTACGGTGGCCATTTTACAATTTCAACTTAGTTGATATAACCAAATTATGATGTATTTAGCCAGCGGTTGTCTTACACGCATGCGCATTGAAAGGCAGCCCGACTGGGAAAGTCACCATGTTGTAATAATCATGGTTTGTTGCGTTGTTCTTTTAAACTGATTTAATGTCTCTTATAAAAAATACCGTCGGCTCCTCGATATTTAACAAAGTTAAATCCAGTTTCGTTCTTCCTATTGTTCTTCATTTCGTATTTTTGTTTTTAAATTTGTTTTACCTGTTCACTGGCTATCAATAGTATCAATTAGGTTTTTACAAACATGCTTGAATTTGATCCCTCGTTAAATCCAAATATTGGAACTCTTCAGTAATGATCCGATTTAACCTCCCGTCATGCATTTCACTGAAATTCTCGTCACTGTTTTATTGCATCCCTGTAAGTTCTCCATGTTTTCGCCGTCACGATAGCAAGGCGTTTCTCTTCTCACTCTACAACATCAATGGACATTATCCAGTCAACTTCACTGTGAAATACAACGATGCTATATACAGTTGTTACCAGCAGTTTCCAATCTTTGGACATGCTAACGATCTGTTTTTCAGACCGTTACCTCAATCTTCTTTTGCAAGACCTGATACCTACCAAATTCCTCCTGGGTGTTCTAAAGATGGGAAATGCAATTTCTATACTGGCACTATTGATTTCTATTTAACAGACATGGAAGTATTTAATATCATAAAGGAAGGCTAATTCATCAAACCGATAAACCACGGTAAGGTTTCATGGAGAAAACACTTTGTATTTCAAAGCGTCACTGTGTTTATCATTCAGAAACATTAGTGTGTTCCTTAGCGGTGTCCGATTGCAGGTTAAATTCTTAGAGCTAACTTGAAAATCATCAGCAATGTATGGCAAATAATTATAATCGTCGATGTTTAGATCTAGGAAGAGAAATGTTATAAAGAAGAGTTTAAATGAAAATTTGTCTTTGAGGCTCCACCTCTGAACGTCCCTTGATACTGCTTATTTGCACAGCTTCATAATTTTTCAAAAGTCGACGAAAAAAGTCTTTTATTTGGAACTATGGGATGAGAGCTCTGTACTCAGTATAAAAACATTAAATTTCATGCACGGATTTTTGCAGTATTTTGTATCGTTGATAACCACCGCGTTTGCATATATTTATCTCAATAGGTAAGGCATGCACACTCTTTGCCATACTTCTGGAAAAAGTTGAGAACTATATTCGATAACTAATGTAATTTTCTAGTATAAATCATTTTTAAATCATTCATGATCATGTTTTTCAAGTTTTTTTTTGAACTTTCATTACTCAGGTTCGGAACTCAAATATGAACGACAATGTGTGTTCCTATTACACCTTCATCAGCAATCTTAAGTTTCATAGATAAACCATGTCAGTCTCTATTCACAAAGAAAAACAAAGAAAAATTTCAACGAAAATATAATCACTGACGTTAACGAGTTCTTGTTTTAGTTCTCTAAGCGTAGAAATAAATCAATTGTAAAAAAAAAAAGGAATCTAAAGGAAAAGAAATACTGCTTTTAATATCAGCTAAGAAGTACATTAAATATGAGATTTATACCAAAAAAACTGTGGAAAATAAATTGAATGTGGCATTTACAAACGTCTTTTATATTATAGTCTTAAAGTTAAATTCTATAAGTAATTTAGATTGATCTTGGTCCGCTTCGATCAAAACACGATCAACTTGTCTTATACTTAAACACGAATTTTAAAACCTAAGTTCTTTGATAATGCAAGAATTCTAGAGGCTAGCATTGTGCGATAAATAACTGCTAACGCTCAATAACGTGGGACTTCCTCTCCGCAATAATCAGCTATTGATTTTTTTAATTCAAAGCAACCTAGAATTTGTGTAAGCCGTGGACTGAAATCTCCTCTGCTCTTTGGTTGGTTGAAATTCAATTCACGATGAATAGCCAATGTGCTTCATATTTAATATATTACGAAATCCATCGTCCCGATTCAATGTCACCATTTCGCTCTATTCATGTCTTCGTTGTTGTCTTTTCAATTAATTTATTAATTCTTTGGCTTCTCTTTCGTCCACTTGAATTCTTAACAAAAAGAAAAGAAAAAAATAGGGTTAGTAGGGTAGTAGACGTACATGTGGCTGTCTGTTGTTAATCTTAGATATCAGCAGTCTGTTCTGGGTACTCATTTTTTTTCACGTGCGTTTTTGCTCGAACACCTCTTTGCTTCCCTCCTCTTACCGAACTCTAGCACAGTCTAAGCTACACGATACAAAATGGACCACTTACATGAGAAGTTTCCATTCATTTCTCCACTACGTCTGTAGTTCTGATAATTTGCCTTGTTTCTCAAATCAGTCATTCTAACGCCATGGCTTGGTAACCTCTCCGTTGTGAGACTACAGCTTACTGGTTTGCTCTGTGAAAATATAAAGCTCAAAATGGTATCAGCCGAAAAATGACTGCTATTTCATGAGCTGGGTTAGAAACTCTTTTAACAGTTTCCAGCTTCTTATATCCTTATTTACGCTTTACCACGAATGTATTAACTATGGGCGGTGACATCCGACGCACAAATGAGTCTGTTAATTAAAACGCCACCACGTCACATTATCAAAGTCATCTAAACAGATGTGAGTAACTACCCGCACCACTCAAACAGTTTTAGCTATTCACGATATGAATACACAAAAAAAAAAAGCCGTAGGGAACGACTTTGTTATATAATAATAACGATAATTTGTATAGCGCAAATTCCATACAATGTTCAAATGCGCTTCACAATAAAATAACACAGTAATAATTAATACAACTATTAAAATAAGATAAAATAAATACTAGAACTACAATAAAAATGAAATAAAATAAATACTAGAACTACATCGACAACAATGAGCTTTATATCGACGAATTGAAACTGACTTATCAAAATTGCTGCATGCTACAACACTTTACAGCAAATAACATTACGGTAAATCTGACTTATCAGTTTCCTGAAGCCAGAATTAAACCAAAAGACCGAGAAGCAACGTGTTAATTGACCTTGAAGATGACTTCTGTCTGAGTTTCCGAAAACGCCAGGCACTATCCCGCCAACAATCCCCTTCAAAACTACTATCTACTGGGAGATCAAACTACATGATGAAATGTTGCTTCTGAGTTCAAACCAATAACTGTGGGTAGCCAAAGTTACAAACTGCATTCTCGAACCTGCTACTGACAAGGAAAGTCACGTGATACATTCTGAGTTATCAGTTTACTATACATCGAATGGAGTTCACGTCATTTTTTCGGTTGATTCGACAGGCTGAGTTTATTTCTTCAAAGTAAACTGCTGCATTTGAATGAATTAGACAAAGATACCTTTTGCATCGCATCAACACCTGAAGCGTAAGCTGCTTGTTGACGTTTTCTTTTCCATGTCATTATTGCTGACCTAACCTAAAGAAAGGTACGAGCAAAATTCGTCATCTTATTATATATATAAAGGTGCTAAAGGAGCACACACAAAAGATTAAATTTTGGAGGCATTTTTAAGTTTAAAGATGTGCAATCGCTGTCATGCATATTGAAGATTTCGACTAACATTTCAAGCGAAGCATTTGCGATTTTTGTTCATCCTCTCCATGTATGTCTCCTTTCCGGTCTTTTTTGTGCGTCTTTGATGTTTGTCTAACGTAGAAAATTGTATCTTTTAACGCCGAATTTGTGATTAATGAAATTTTCAGCGACCAAAAAGCACACTTGACATGTTGCAAGGAAGCCTCGTTCGACGCTTTGAATAATTTTATTGCAGGTAATAACGTGCACTGCAAGGGAATTTTGGTGAGCGAACAATCAACTCTTCTCAGTGAAAAGTATAGATACTACTATTGAATAGGAGGAAGGTTCGAGAGATAAAGAAATCTTTACCGGAAAGCTGGAAAAAAAGTCAAGAGAGAAGCAGGGAGTTAGAGGAGAGGCAACAAAGATATGTTTTCGTCCCCACTTACCTGACCGAAATATAACTTAGCGCTGCAGAACAAACACGATATTGTGTTACTTATTCAGTGTCCTTAATAAGATGTCTCTAACTTGCGCGCATAAATTATCATTTTTAGCATTACTGAAGCAACGTGTTCCTCTCATCTAAAAGACCAAAAAACTGTTTCACTGATTTTGTATATTTGTTATATCACTTTAGACAAAACAATAAAATTTATTGAAAACAGATCAAGAACAAGTTGGGTTCATGTGCCCTCATAATGTCACCAACCTGTTGATCGAATAAACAGTGGAAAACAAATATGAAGAAGCCCTACCAAAAAAAAACAAAAAAAAAAAACAAACGAATTGAATTATTAATCTTTAAATTCAAAGTAGTGTAAGGTATTTTTTATATTTTATTTGAGGATTTGTACCAAGTACTGGAGCAGAAACAATAGGACGGGGTTTAAGCTCCAACAAACCCACCCATCCCACCCCAGGGGAGGACATCCATCACACAGTAATCTCGTGCGTGGGAAATTAACGTCTCCTACCCCTAACCCTGCAGGAGACGGGACCTCCATTTATTCGTCCCTATCCGAGAAGACTAGAATATCTAACCATTCCTTGATGTTACAGGAAGGTAGCATATTCTTCTGAGTTATTTTAAGACCTTGAGTGTTGGTCCGGCCGGGGCTCGAACCCTCGACCTCCCGCACAGCAGTCCAGCGCTCTATCCATTGAGCTAACCGGGAGGCGGTCCTCTTTATATAACTTTGAATGAAGGTCACAATACCAATCACAGCTGTCGCCATGCACTTTAGAAGTAAGTGCGTCGTGGGTCAAAAAAGAGCGCCTTATTATTCCAGTTGTGTCTCGCCACAGTGAAGAAACGTAACTATTTCTCTACAACAGTAATCCAAGTTAAGAGCTCCCATTTAAAAGAAACATACCTGAAGCGAGTTGAAGATTGCAAATAGGTACAGGAATACCACTGTGGCTTGATCAAACGCTAAGACCCCAAACACCCACGTGATCCCGAGAAGAGGAAGAAGCACAATAGAACACTTTATACCAAGTCTTAAAAAGAAGACAACAGCCATTATCACGGGCTATCTAAAGCTCCTGTAAGTCCATCTTAAAAAGAAGACAACAGCCATTGTCACGGGCTATCTAAAGCTCCTGTAAGTCCATCTTAAGTAAGCTGTTCCCTTTCTTTAACTTTTCTACTATAGTCATGCAAGTTTTTTCTGTTTCAACTGAAAAAATCCCATGCAAAGAGTAATGCCGTTACATGCTCAGGATAAATACATTTGAAAATAAGAATTTGATGAAATCTGAAAGCAAGTGCTTGTGCCGTTTCCACAAGGTTTTCTTGTTTTATTTTCGACTGCTCTTCTCATTTCCCTTGTAAAGAAAGTTTTCTATAACTTAAGAGCTGCAAAATGAGCTATCCTTTTCAGAAATAGCTTTATCCATCCCGTTGTTTATCTTCTAATCTTCTTAAATTTTCCGAAGAAATTTGCACAGACGCCTTACACTTTTCATGAATTTCGTGTTTATCAAGTATTTTGGTTTAAAACCCCATAAGTAATACTCTGAGTAAAAAAATAAAGAAGACAACGATTAATGTTTGAGTCTTACTTGATTTTTTCTTTGTCTTGAGCCCCAATCATTTTGTGACTCGTCATCATGGCCCGTAAAACCAATACAAATATAATGCAATTTACCTGCCAGCAATGAATGTAATACCAAATATATTTATTCACTCGATTTGATAGATGATAGGTAGCAATCCTCACAAAAAAATCTAAACCGAACACTCAATCTTACTTAATTAAAGCAAAACTATTTAGTACTTAATTAACACTCTCAACATTCCAATTTGTAGAGTTTGTTATCACGTGAAACAAGATTTTCACACACATTCTTGCTAAATGTGAACTCGTAGGAATCTGACTTTTAGACTTTGAAAATGATGAATGAGTCATCGAACCTCATTCAAGGTCATTACCGCTGATTTTTATTCATAATTGGTTAAGTATTTGCCAAAGAAAACAAGGACATTCGTATCTTACCGACACAACAGCAAGGGAAGGGGCTATAAATGTCCAAATTAACCCAGATGAGATAGATAGCCAGCATCTGCAAAAAATAGGGAAACTATGGATGTTTAAACTCTAAAAGCATCAATATCAACATTGGCGAAGAGTTCATTTGCAAACACAAGTGCAACCGTAAATTAGAAAATGTCTTGGAATTATATATCTAACCAGAGGTAGAAAACACGGTCAATTTACATTGTACAGCTTTAGATCGATTGCAGATAATTTTTATATAGAGCTTTATATCTAGAGCAACGCGAGGAAACCAAACTAAAGCTGCAGAGGGTGCATTAGGAGGTATTCAAGAAATGGGAATGAGGAACCATTTAAACTTTGCCAAACACATACGTTTTATCTCCTCCGTATCCTTCTGTCCTTGTGATTGCTAGACATATCGTAACGTACAACAGCGGAAAACCTGCAAGATGAAATGAGTAAGATAAAAGGTCAGTTTTCAGGGCTATTACAACGTTAGACTCAGGCAGAATGATACTCAAATAGATAATGAAATAGACGGTTAACAACGACGAATTTCCAACGTGTGCAGTCTAACATACGTAGATCAGTTCCTGCACACACGTTTCTCCCACTTTTAAATAATTCAGACAATCTCCGTTCAGTAAAGCAGTTTCTGGTCTCTAAAGAATTACTGGAAAACTGTTAATACGGTGGTAAAGAAGTGAAACCATTTTGTAACGAATAAACAAACTCGGTTTGGAGACATGTTCAATTAAACCACTGAATCATCGGGAAATCGGGGATAAAGAAATGCTAAAGTATTTAAATCAATGTCTTGTGATATTAGACACTTCAGCATGTTAACATAAGTCAGGTATCATTTCATCAAAAAATTGAAATACTTACCCCAGCCAAGAAGATAGAAATATTTTTGTTTGCTTCCCCCACCGAATACTTTAACAAGTGAAGAATATATCTGTATTCCCTCGACCAGCATCCAAAATATAGCACTCAGATAGAAAAAGTGAAGCAAGGCGGAGATTACTTTGCAAAGAACCTATGACAAAGATTGTTTTTAGGACGAAAATAAGGCATAGAATCGTAAATCCCTAAGTAAGCCTGAAAGGGAAACTACATTGAAGAATTTTCTGCGACACGAGTGTCTGATAGCATAGCTTTAAAAAAAAAAAAGGTTTAAAATTTGACATGGATGTAGCACGTAGAAGATTTCTAGTTGCATTTGTGGGGTCACTCTCTCATTCTTCTTGTCGTTACAGGTACCGTAGTGGTCATATTCAGTTTTAGTATGTGAACTCACCTCGTTCTCTGTGGATGCTGATCCGATTAGAAGAAGAACGTTTGCAGCCAAAAGTGCGATACACAGATTGACATGGATCACTGTCTTGTGAGACTTTAATATTCTACATAAATGACAAAAGTACGGCATCAAAACGCTTTGTAAATATCACGAAGGTGAGCGCTGATTGGTTAGTTTGGAAGTGATCAGCAAGTGTACTATTCACTTCCGAGTAGCCGAAGAAACAAAATCAGTCGTCAAGAGTTTGATTTCCGATAATGTTTTGGTATATTGACAGAAATGAACTAGTTTTTGTGTGTCTAGGCTGTACATGCTAAAACAATTGTACACTTCAGTGTCGGCGAAACTGGTGGATATCTAGCTCGCCGCGAATAATTTTTATAATATGCGAAAGTAGATAACCTGGTGACACAAAAAAATCTGTGAACGTTTGTATCGGAAGGTAGCCCTGCTATAGGTTAACTTCAAGTGGAAAAAACCTATATGGGCATCCAAACGAAAATTTAAGGGGCAAGGAGAAAGTTTTGGGCAAAGTAAAGAAAGGTCTTTCATCGAGTATAACCTGTTTTGTTTGTATGCCTATTTGTCCGTGTAGAGTGAGATGACTTAAGTGGCTCGTAAAACCTCAAAAGTTAACAAACCTCCATAAAACGCAGTGAAGAATAAGTGTAACAATAATTCCCAACAGCGAAAGGGAACAACCAAATACAGAGATGTATCTCAAAGATTCTTGGTGTACCGGGTGCTCCTGAGAAGGGATATCAAGCAAATCATTTTAAGATTAAAATTACTACGTTACTTTGGATGCTTTGAATATTGCTTTGTGTCTGATAAAGAATGATAAAAAAAATGATCTCCTGTGGCGAGGAATAGAGAAACATCTGAATAACCGTAAGGGATTTGAACCTCAAACATCTCAGTTCTCAGAGAAAGTGCATCAGTATTACCTATCTATGGTAAACATGTTGTCTGCTAATTAATCTGGAAGCAACTTTATTTTGACTGAGAATTGACGACTTAACTATTTTAAACAATCCCCCTCCTTCAAGCTGTAAATTAGGATTCCTTGCTTTAAACGGAGAATTATGATTCTTATAGTTTAACCGCTGTGATTGATGATTCATAATTCAGCTTATACCCCCGAAAACGATGTCCCTTAGTCGTCACTTTTCTTTTTGCTATGATATAGTGAGATTTATTTACTTTAAACATTCTTAGCAAAGAAAGTATTTAAAAATAATTTTCAACTCACAGAGGATATCCCAGACGGATCCATCAAAACAGCAAAATTTGTCAAGTGGTTACATTTACAAGTGACTGTATCATTTTTATGTGACGCCAGCTTACAGCCATCTTTCGACCAACCTCCGCCTCTGGAATTTCTGAATTAAAAAACTTTGATTACTAAACAAGGAAGACTAATGATTAACTCAATCGTTCTCTCTCTCCTTACAAATTTCTCAGTTACAATATTCAAAAGAACAACTCAGAGTTCTTCTTCTTACATCGCCACCCTAGGCAGCCACTGACGTTAAGTATTAGATTTAGGAATTACAAAGAAGCCAGGTTAAATAGTTTGGGATCATAGGCATAACAAAGATGGAAAGAGGCTTTGTACTGCAAATTTACGTAACAGAAGCCGCTGAAGGAAAACGTGCTTGACAGATTTGCTCTCTCAACTTCCTTTGATCTTTCTCCTAGGTTCATGTTTGTGCTCTTGTAATCAAAGATTACGCATCAAAACTCCTCTACAATTTCTGAGATTTATAACAGCTCAATCAGCTGTGATTAAGCTATTGCGCCTGAAAACTTACCTTTTGTTATTTATTACTTACATGTTATAATCCCAATAAACGCAAAACACACTGCCATTGTTTTCCTAAAAAAAGTAATCAAACACTACGGTAAGATTTTACCGCCTTGCATTTTTCATCTCATTGCAGATGAAGTCAAGGTGACGAGCTTGTATTAACCACGGTTGTTTTACTATAGAAATTCTCACTTTTTTAACCTTAAAGGGATGAAGTACATTTCGTAAGCGCCAATCACCCTTTGGCACATCCTTAAACGGTCGCTCATGCAAGCATGGAATGAGCTTCACCGCCTTGGCAAAATGTTGCGTCACTTAACTAAGCGTTAACTTAATATGCATGTATAATGATGTAAATTCACATTGGTCGACAGATTTTTTCTTAAGATCTTCGTTGGAACGTTTAATTACGAATATGCGGGTATCACATGATGAAATTACCTGAATACCAAAGAAGTCAACCACAACATGGTTCTCGAGTTTCACAACAGGTGGCTGCACCGAGCTGGCAATTATACGTGATACCACGCTAGACCCCTTACCAAATTGTTCGAATGCACTGGAATAAAGAATCACAAGATGTTTTGGTCTCTCCTTATCATGAATGAGTGACAACGAAAATGTACGGCACATAAGTTTTGCCGCAATATAATTGAAGTGACAATACGCACCTCTGCTGTGACAAAAATGGAGTCAATGTTCTGAAAAGAAAACTGGCTACATTTGTTCCTGAAGTAAAAAATAATAATACGTGAATAATTTTGTTAAAAGCAAGATCAGAGAAATCACAACAACCAATCGAAGTAATGACAAATATAACAATGAGCCAATCAAAACGCTACACATGTAATCAGCCTGATGCCCATTTATGGGAATGTGCCTCGAAATGCCTTCAGTAAAATTAATAAATCATGCCACGCTATGATTACCTTAAGGTATGTTCATACAGAGTTTGATTTAATAAAATCTATTTGTTTCTTAGTTGTTAGTTTCACCTGGTTTGTTAAATGCTTGCTCACTTACTTGTGTGACTAACGTTATTTGGAAATTACTGTACCGTTTGCTAAACGATGGGATTGTCGATTGAATTTTTCTACTGGTAACTCGATAAACTGCTTTCCACTTTTAGCCCATGCTGGTGAAGAGAGGATGCCATCCTCATAATCTGAATGACTTGGAAACACCAAAGGTTCTTGCACATTGCCAGGCACAAGTCTTGTTTCCATAGCTGGAAGAGAAAAAAAACGGACAAGGACGTAGCATAACGCCAATATTTCTCTTTTTTTTTTTTTAAAGGTTTCCCGTCTCTATGAAGATATTTCATCATTTGAAACAAAGCTGTTATTACCTATGTTATCTTTCACCACGCTTTGCCTTTCGGTTTTTTCGTGTCCAGCAGCTGCCTGAAGTCCATAATCCTCGATTATTCTGGTCAAATCAGTTGTAGTGCTATCGGTCTATTAGCAAGAGGTAACATAGTTTGGGTGAAATTCAAAAAAGAGAAAGAATGTCCCACAGCGCTGAATTATGATTAGCGCAGGGNGAGCAGGAGGAGAATGGTAGCCGTTCAAGTATTTAAGAGGGTCCCGGAAGTTGACTTCTTCTGAAAATCCGTTGACTGAAACTTTCCTCCAGTGGAAGAAAAAACACGCCTTTAGAGTACCACAGATGATACAATTTGAACGGACATAAGGCATTACAAGGAATCGTAAAAAATAAAAGCCACAAAAAAAAATAGAAAATTTTAGGTTATTTGGGAGCAGAGAAATACCATGTGTACCTCTTGAAGGCGCTGGAAATCTCTGAGATTGTTCGTGTGGAGGAGATTACTAACGGTCTGTAGAAATCCCTGATAAAAATTGAACAACAACAACAAAATTTACATGACATGGTGTTTAAATAACTCCCAATAGACGGAGTTACTATGATATAAGTAGTCTAATGTAATTATGACATAACTGTAAATATTTCGCGGCGTCAAGGGGTCAAATGGGATTTGGGAATGCTCCTCTGTTGCTTGGATGAGAGTCAAACTTTCAGTGAGGAGATGTAGTTCCGAAACTCTCTTTGGCTGGTAAAAGGGATTTGTGTCATGTTCAGGCCTATCTTTTATCGAATATCAACAACGTTGCGTGCTCTAACAATCGAGACTGACATTGGAAACAAGCTGAAGAAACTTTGTAAAATTGTTCTCTTACCTCGATATTTGCTGACACCGTTTCCCGACTGTCAGAAAACTTTTTGTTGTAAAAGACCACATTTTGTAAAATCTGCGTCGATGTCTTGATATTTCCAGCCATCACAGAATCGTATTTCTTCGGTTGAGTTAGAGAAGAAAGCTCAGTGATAATAGCTGTGAGTTTTCCGTTAGAGGGATTTGATGAGGTGAACAAGCCGTTCATCTAACGGAAGGAGAAAGGCATAAAACTCTTTTAAACCTAATTGGTAGGAGAGGTGATACTTACTCCTTTTAAACATAAAAGCTGGGCATATGGTACTGCTGAAAAGCTACTAAAACAGGAGCCCAATTAGACGATATAAATGGTGTAAATCATCCGTATTTATATTTATCGCGCGATAAATATAAATTATCACGCGATAAGTGATAAATTATCGCGCGATAAATGGAGATTATCGCGCGATAAACGGTAAACTTTTTAGGTCACGTAATCGGCTGTCACGCACGTTGTTTCCGAACTTCTTTATTCTCCGACACGTTTCGTCTAATTGTCGTAGACTTATTCAGGGCCACAGAGGCTTGGCCGGACTTACGAACAGTAACAGGCGGAGTTGTGAAAAATTTAAAACGTGTAAGGTAAGGTGAGAAAAATATTTTGGGGGCCACAGTTCAGCTAAAATTACTGTTCGCAGAAGTGCTGCTCACCAGTCGATATTTAAAAAAATAGACCCTGGCGCCCAAGCACTGGTTTCAGCTGGCGCAAGCTTATTAAAAGAAAAGCGAGGATCTCTAAGTAAGCCAGATCAAAAGAAAAGTAGTGATTAATGATACCGTTCCTCTGTAGAGTATTAGGTAAGCCATTGCCGATGTAAGGCGCAATACAGCGCTGGATAAATGTATTGTTCCAAAAAGTAAACGTCATTTCAAAGAATACCTTAACAACCACATGTTACTGTGTTGACTGCGTGACTAATATCGCGCACACGCTGAGTGTTAAATATTGCGGTAAATTCTTAATTATCGCGCGATAATTTTTCATTTATCGCGCGATAATTTGCATTCATCGCGCGATAATTTCCATTTATCGCGCGATAATTTTTCATTTATCGCGCGATAATTTGCATTCATCGCGCGATGATTTCCATTTATCAAGCGATAATTTTTAATTTATCGCACGATAATCTCTATTTATCGCGCGATAATTTATCATTTAGTGCGCGATAATTTCCATTTATCGCGTGATATTTTGATTTTATCGCGCGATAAGAAAAAAAATGTGTCATGTCCTCTATGGGCCACGAACAATCATTATAAAATGTGTTTACAAATACAGTCGGGATTGATCAGAAAATATTATCTATTCAACCAAGGATTCTTACTGTGGTTTTGCTGAGAAATACTTCTTCGTTACGAGTTTAAAGAGCGGAGCTTGTTAAGAATAAGTGTAAACAATATCACCCAAAATAGCCTTTCAAACTCAAGACCTTTTCTTGCAGTTGATGGAATTCCTCACTGGTGCAATCTCCGTAGTCAGGGTATCCCCACACACCGCCGTTAAGGCATTTCCTTTTGGCCACACCTAAAGTAGGACGGAAGAGGCATTTAACATCGCAATATATACTTCTAAAGATGAAATAAACAATTTTTAATATAAGAGAAAAATCGAGTTTTTCCATCTGGAAACTCGATTTTTCTAATATATACTTCGACATAAGAAACCTTGATGCATCGAATTAAACCCGACTCAGTATTTTTTTTTGAGGTGGAACCTCCATTGAAGATACAATCTCAGGCTAAGCAAAGGAAAACTGTTTCCTTCATAGAAGTGTCAGTTAAAAGAGGGAAGTGATTTTATGCTTAGCATATCCACGAGTTATGTGGGGGTTTGATGTGACTTGAACCCACGAAATGAGCTATTATATTTTGCTCAGTATATCCAGAAGTTCACCCCAGAGACACTTTGATTAAATTATCAAATAATCATGGCTGTTTATGTCGTCTGGGATTCTCTTCTACTCAACATAGCAGAGTATAAAATAAAGCCACTGACATTTTTTTGCTATCAAGAATACATTGAATTGTTTTGTTCTAGGTTGAACAGGAGGTCTTTGCAATATTAAATTTATGGTGTGTGAATGGTTTCCATAATTTTTACCGCTATATGACTCACCCGTTGCTCCTCTGGGACAGTTCTGTGTGGCAAATTCTCCCTCAAAAGTACCACTCCAAGACACGTTAAAAAATTCCTTTGCACACGCTAAGGAAAGACATGTAAGTAAATTGTTTTTTCTTTTTTTTTAAAAACTTTATAAAATGTCGGATCCTGCAAACTGTTATAAGATGAAGGGAATCTTGCCTCTTGCGTTCCTATTGGCTACCAACCATAGGTCTTTAGTGGACCTATTCTGACGGCACAGTAAAAGCCACTGGCTGGCGATGGGGTACATCCTAAATTTACCAAGCGCCAAGTCATGATCGATTGGCGCTAATTTGAACCTCGACCTTTATTACCCTGGATTAGTGTGAAACTTTCAAAAAAACAAACGAACTACAACAACAACAGAGATCAGCGGAAAGTGTTGCAGAAGTTTATTTTCCCAAATGACGATCACTAGAATGCTGTCTAATTCATTTATCTTCATGAAAATGGATGATCCCTTACCTGTCACGGCGCCAAACGAATCAACTTCAAAATTTCGCAAGCTTTTCGAGCGCACAGCCTCAAGGAGTTTTTTCTGAACTACTGATGAAGTTCCATTCGCCGTAGACAGGAGCATGTCTGCCACGACACTTCCATTTCTACAATGTTAAGCCAAATTGTATCACATCGAAAAAGATGTATCATACAGCATGCTACACTCGAGTTTCACAAAGTAAGATCTAAATGGGCTGAAATTACCTGAATCTTACAACTTCCACATCTCTGAAACCAAGAACACCTGCGTAAAAAGACATTAGGATATTCTCCAGCCAAGCTGCCAGTGTGTTAAATTTCTCAGACAAAGGATTATTGAGATCAGACGTGAAAGTCTCATTCGTTAGTTTTAAGACGGCTTTGAGAAATGACGGATTATCATCTGTTAAAATGAAAAAATTGAACAATGTGTTAGATTATCGTTCAACGATCACACGGTCTGGAAAATGGATCAACATGTTTAAATTTATCGAGAAACTTTTTATTCTCCATGCCATAAATTCTACTCTTTTGAAGATTTCTTCAAAGATTTTCCTTGGAAATTGATACTGGGCTTAAAACTTACACCTTATCAGTCACACACCGCTTTTGAAATTCTTACTAAATGATTTACCTTTCAAATTAACTCTTATTCTCCAAAAGGTGCTGCCCATTCTGTTGGAGATGTGACACTCCACGTCAGACGGCATTGTCACAAAATACGTTAAAGTTGTCTTGTAAGGCTCCATGATTGTGTGACTATCGTTAATTACCTCATACGAATCTACCCCGTTAATAAGAAACGTGACTGTGGGTCTTGGAAAACCAGGTGCTTCGCATGAAAACCTCACGCTATGATCATATGGTGCTGAGATGATCTCTTCGCTTGGGCAAGACTTCATGAGCTTAGGTATTTCTTTAAAGAAGCACAACATCAAAATAAACAAGATCATGTGTAGTATACAATCAGTAAGTTGTAGTTTACTTTCTAAAGATCAGCTGGAGCAGATCTAGCCGATGACTTTCAACAACGGGTTCCTATACCACTGAAACGTTTTCTGCAAACGCAATACGGTTTGTTAAAAGGTTGCTTTTTCATACCAAAGGGTTCATATGCGCAATTAAATATTTTGTAGTCAGGAGAATGATGGAGCAACTCAATGGCAAATAAACTAACAAATGTTACTAGTGCGCCCTTGATCTTATTCTAAGCTCGAGAACTTGACTGTCGATCCAAGTACCTTCAAGAAAAAGACTTGAAAAGGCATTTGTAAAAGTATCCCGTGCCACTCTTGTTATCTGTGAGGTTTTGTGTAAGGTTTAGCACTAATGTCATCCAAACTCACCAAAATCAGTCTTACAATCACCACTTGCTCCTGCAATGTTACATGCTCTCTCTGCAATGTAAGGAATATATTTTACGCGGAAAACTATCAGGATTGGCAGCGGGCTTTGTCAAATCTTTTTTATCGTAGCCAATGATAACGTCAAAAAAAGTTTTCAATGGACACTTCACCAGCTGTATTTTTTTAAGACCATCCGTACGTTCATTTCATAAATCTAATGGTAATACTTGAAAGAAACAAGATTTATTCATCTTTTCTAGATATGTCGTCGTCAAAAAAACAGTGTTCACTCTCGTTAAGACTTACGAAGATGAGTGATTATCTTTATCAATGCAGAGCAGAAAAGCTGACTGTATAAAACATATTTCTATTATACAGACCTTTCTCACACACATATGAACTGTGTTTGATTGTACACTGGCCAGTTTGCCACCGCCCTCGAATATCATTACGAAGCATTTCCACACAAATGTCAGAACCTTGAGTGGGCTCACCCGCCGACCAGAAATTAAAGTTACCAATTGGCGATCCATCTGTCCAAATGAACTTTCCTGAGGATCCTTGCGCCCGCAAACCGATCCAGATTTGAAACGTTTGATCAACACCTAGGCCAAAGACGAAATCTTGTTCCTGTTCACTGGTAATTTTCGCGAGATGTGCTCCGTCCTTCTGGCAAAGACTTTCAGCATCAGTCCATCTGCTTTGACGGTTCGAGTACTTATAACAAGATGACTGATAAAGCTTCCATCCATTTTTACAAGCTACAATAAACATGTTTGGGAAACGTTAAAAAGGTTTGATAAAACTCACACCAAAATGTTTGATAGGCTACCTGTTTAGCTAGAAAAGTTTCGATTATGAAAAGTTCCAAGTTTTGTTTCCTTTAAAAATTATGCTTAAAATTATCAATTAAGTTTTTGTAAATCTGGTATGAACCGTTATTTCTTATTGTTTTCCTTTATTATTTGTGGCGAAAATTGGCGTGTGGGCGGTAAAAAATTGATCAGCTTACCTATCCCCAACATTTGACCGTTGTGTTACTTTAACTAAAATATATTTTGTCTGTACTTACTGACTATGCACCCAATTTCATCTGACTTGTCAGTGCAATCTGCTTTGCCATCACACACTTTTGCTAGTGGAATACAACTACCGGTGGGGCATCTGTACTCTGTTGCGTTGCACCATCCACCGCGTAAAGTCCGGCAGAACGTTTCATCGCTTCCGTCTCCACAGTCGTTGTACGCGTCACAAACAGCAGATTGCGGAATACATCTCCCATTCCAGCATCGAAACTTATCAGTTTTGTTACACACATCACATCCAACTTCATCACTTCCATCTTGGCAGTCGTTCATTTTGTTGCATACCCATGGCTTTGGTATACAGTGGACATTCCTGCATCTAAACTCTGGAAATACTTTGCCGCATTGCATAACGCCCAGGTTTTCTGAGCAATACGTCTCTCGCAGATCATGGATAACACCCTTACAGCATCCCCAGTAAGTCTGATACGACAGCCAATTATCGATGCCGCCACAAGTATGATTCATACAGTTCGCTGATCCTGCCTGGCAATCTGTGTTGGAAGATCGACAAAAATATTGCAATGAGTGACTTTCCTCTACGATAATAGAAAAAGTAAAAATGTCAACATTCTGTTTCTTGTTACTTTGATTATGCTCATTGTTGTTCTATCTCAATATCATTAGCAATTGCAAATGCAGATGTAAGTTACAGAGTCCAAAATGGGATCTCTCTCAAAATTGTACTTTGTCAAGAACATTGAATAAAACATTAAATGACAAAATTATAAGATAATTCGAAAAATAACCCGTTTGGGTTTGTCTTTCTTAATTCTTGTGCAAAACGATTAATTCGTAGAAAAGATAAGAGCATTTTTATATAACTGTTGAAGAGTGTTTCGACTCAAGCGCGCACGAAACGTAACTTTGTTGAAAATATCAAAACTAATTATAAACGAAAGATCACCTTAACAGCCCTTGGATTTCTGACTGCATGGTTATCCATAGTAACTCGCCAAGTGTTACGTGCATTATGTCATCGTGCATTATGCATTACTGAATGCATTTTGACTTGTACGCATGCAGGTTCTTGTATGGCTTATTACCATCGTATTCTTAACAACTTACTTGCCACTGATCTTTTCCTACGACTTCCTATTTTTGATTCTGTTAATAAGAGATATCAGAAAAGAAACGATAGTTAAAAAACGAGATTTCTGAAAAACTGTTCAACGTTTATGATGAATACATGCAAGAAGAAGAAAATGATAAACTTAACTGACTAAAAAAAATTATCTGTACAAGTAGGCATGGAGTTCCTTTCTTTACCCTCCCAAGGGGGAGAGGATACTGACCCTTTACTTTCTTAGCGGGGCAGAGCCTCATACCCATGGAATATGGTCAACCTCTTTTCGTTTGGTTGTCAAGTGACTGACCGAGCGTACTTACGTTCGTACGTGCCTTCAGATTGCACGGGTAGGGTAGGGCAAACTCTCAAAACGAAGGGAGGGGTGTCTCAGGCGAGTCTTGGCAAATGCACATCTTTTATGTTATCATTAATATTACGAACTTGGGAGCTCCGCTTTTAGGCTTGGCTAAATATATATATTACCCTTTTTAGGGTAAGCTTACCTTCCGAGTGAGGAAAATGCAGGTCACTTTTCAGTGCAAAATTTGATATTTGGCCGCAGTTGGACTTGAGAGCAATAGAAGCTGCCAGTTGCTTTAGAGTTAGGTCTTCACAATCTATTGGATTGTCTAACAGATTTCTTGAAACAAAAGGAGAAACGTTTCATGGAAACATCATAAAAAGGTGATAATCTTAGTATGTTGTGGCAATGAAGAGAATCTTAAAGAATAATGGGGGAAAGAGGGTGGAAGAACTTTTACCAAATGAAAGCAAGCTTCACATGAACTTGGACACGTCTTTTAGGTTTCTACAGCAGTGTAAATAGAGGATGAACAATAGATACGAAATATTCTGTGACTCAACAGAAATGTGAAGTAAAACAGTAAAAGGGACATAAATTCTTTATGGAAATTCAACGACTTCGACGTCAAAGACAACTGAAATATTGAATTTACAAGATACAGTAACCCCTATGCAAACTTACAGTAAACGCAAGTTCTGTGGAAGATCAATGACTTGTTGATATGACAAAGTGGATATCGCGTTACTTGAAAGATCTCTAAAACATAAGAATATATATCAGATTAAAATATCGCCAACAAATTTTTGAAGAGAAGTTTTTTTTGCACCCAGTTGTCACGCGAAGTTGTCACGCTGACACCAGTTAGCCGCTGTGTGACAGATAATGTAACGTCTGCAACTCATACGAAACTTTAGCCGAGAACACTTTTAAGGAAATGTTCAGGGCTTCAATTTAGATAAAGTATGACGAATATTGGTTTTTAGAGAGTAGCGGAAGTCGAGCCTTATCATTACAAAGACGCTGAAACAGAAACAAACAGAGAATATTGGCGCTTCCCGTTAGCGAAGTTTCCGGTCGGAATAACTTTGTTCTCTCTCTGTTCTAGCAGATTATTACTCACGCATCCTATTATTGTTTTCTCTTGCCTTTCTTTGGACTGAAAAATCAGTCAATGAATATGCAAATAAAAATGTTCTGTGAGCGAAGTTGAGTACGGTCTAAAAGATACGAATGCCCAAAAAATTCGGATATTAGATCTTGGTGAAGACAAACTTCTACGTCAAAGCGCAAAAAAGTTAAATGGATGAATAGTTTCCCGGCTTTGAATGACTCTAAATTATTTTTCACGTTAAGATTATACGGTTTAAAAATTAAACAGAAGTGAGAAGCAAGCTGATGAAACTTATATTTTCAGAATGTAAACAAAACACGTAGCAAAGGTCATAATTGGCTTAAACGATCGAAATGATCAATATATGATGAAAGTTTCATTTCACCTTATTCCAGCCAGTCTTAAGCAAAGTTAGTAGTCCTCGATTTTACTTTCAAATCGAAGGTCTTACCAGCGTGTAAAACCTAGCACCCGAAAGCGAAATATTATTGATAAGAAAGCAAACTCACAGATACTCAGTATCCTGAGGTAATCGAACGGGAAGATTCTTGAGATTTCGCCCCCTGCAGTCGGCCATGAGTCCTGGAAAACTTTGCTGTTGGTTTCCTGAGCACTCACAGACTTCGCCACAGGGAAAATTGTTCACCTTTCTAGCATACGCACTCCAGATCAACAGCAATGAATAAAACCTTAGTGTTTTCATGGTAAGCAGCTTCAAAAGATTGTGCAACACCGTGTCTACAATGTCAAAACAAATTAGTTAATATTAACCGCCTGTGTTGAGTTAGCTATTGATGAAAAAAAATGAAACCTACCGCGGAAAATTTTTCGAAAGCCTACAGTCGTCAGGTAGCAGATGCATTAATAAGCTCGCTTTTAACAAAAAACAAGTGCTTTCTCAAGGGTTCCTTTTAGTCTCTAATCTTTTGTTTAACTAACCATAAGTCCATTAAACGGCATTTCCTTTTCAAATGTTAATTTGAAGTTAACTTGTCCTTCTATTTTGAGTAATTGTGCTAGGTCATTGTCTGACTCAGTATTAATCAAACACTATTGACAATTTAAACAAATGCACTTTTAAAGTGTAAACGAGAGTAGTTTGAACTCGTTTATATGTTTGACGTGAGTTTTAAAGAATAATGAAAATCAAAATTGTTACCCTAAAACGACATTTAAAGTTATCGATTTTCTTTCCAATGGAAATACATTTTTATTGTCAACGATTTTCTTTTACTAACTATGTCAATCAGTTCGAAGATGTCATCTTGATATATAAGGAATGTATGAGGATTTTTATGATATTGGTCTGGCTGATGGCCATAAGACATCACAAATAAACATGATAAACCGGAAAAAATAGATCCATCTGACATGCCTAAACTGGTAATACTATATCCGGACATGCCGCCTTAAGCCTGATTTCCATATGATCGTCCGGATCGTCCCGATCGTCCCAGTCGCCTCACTGAAAATTTCGAGACCACCAGGACGACTGGGACGATTGCTGATTTCCATAAGATCGTCTCGATCGCTTCAAAGACTCAATACGCGCGGTCGTCAGCGATGTTCCTGGGTCCGCCAACACAATTTTGGCGCGATCTTCGGAAAGCAAATGGCGGACGTCAATCGCAGAGCGAGTCTGCTGGCTTGTTATCTTATCATTCTTTCAATATTGCGCCGTAGAAGAGCTCGAGGAATCCCACGAAGACACAGGTTTTGGGTCTGGAACCAGATGGAACAGACTTTTTCTTTTTCAAGTATCGCCCATACGCGGTTCGGACATCCTTATATTTTTTTCTGCTTCAGCCGCGTCCAAGCCAAATTTCTCTCCTATTGCTTTCCAGATATTCATTCTTATAAACTTATTCTTATAGTCCTTATAACATTTTTTGTAAATTGCAGGATATTTTTGCACTTCTTCCATAAAGAGCGACCTGTTTTACTAAGTGTTTTCTACCGCCATTTTGAAATGGACCATGTGTCTAGAGAATGATGACTTCTGGGATAGCCTCCGATCGTCCCGATCGTCTCAGTCACCTGAGAGCGTTCCCATAGACCACTTTCATAAATGGCTGCTGTATAAATATTCTTTTATTTCAATTTAAATTAGCCCTACTGGCCTCGCTTGAGATAATGTTTTCTTTTGAATTTTGTACTGGAGAACGAGGCCAGTAGGGCTAATTGAAATTTGAACAAAAGAATATT